TAAGTATTTCAAATACCAGCAGGGTCACCCATGGTGGGTAGACATCAGCAGCATTCCAGACTGACAGACAAGGAAGAGGATGAGGCCATCCACTTCTGAAAAATTATCCAATGAAAACCTTATGAATAGTACTGTAATCTTATCTGATAAATTACTGGAAAACTTTATGAACAGCAGTGAAATATTATCTGATATAGTGCTGGAAGATGAAGCCCTCAGGTTGGAAGACACTGAACATCTACTGAGGAAGAGCTACCTCCTCAAAACAAAATTGATCTTAGTAATGTAGATAGAGTAAAGCTTTCGGAACCTTCATTTGCTGATGGGGCACAATTCAAAATAGGAAGAAACAGTTCCAAAAATCCATTGATAGTTGGAATGTTGAATACACAAATATGAATCTAGGAAAATTAGAAGTTGTCAAAACTGAAGTGGAACACGTAAAGATTGACATGCTAGGCATTAGTGAGATGAAATGGATCGGTATTGGCCATTTTGAATCAGACCATCATAGGGTCTATTATGCCAGGAATGACAAATTGAAGAGCAATGCAGTCACATTCATTGTCAAAAAGAATGCTCAAGATCTACCCTGAAGTACAGTGCTGTCAGTGATAGGATAATATCCTTACACCTACAAGGAAAACCAGTTAATACTACTATTATTCAAAATTATGCATCAACCACTAAAGCCAAAGTTTTGAAGCCAAAGAGATTGAAGATTTTTACCACCTTCTGCAGTCTGAAATTGACCAAACATGCAATCAAGATGTATTGATTATTACATCTGTGATGAATTGCAATAACTTGATAGTAACTGTTTTTTTGTTGTTGATTTTTAGGAAACACGCAGCCCTTGTGCACACAGATCTTAGGTCATTATTGTCTAGGCATTTGCTATTAATATTTTTAACAGTGACTGTTAGGTAAAGGTACTATAAACATTGTTAGGAGCAAAGTGAGGGCCTTCTTGCTGCAGTTAGATATGGTGAAGAAGATGGAAAATGTTCTGCTCAGGCTGTCTAACCAATATTATCTGGAGCCACAAAGGGTTACAAGGCCACCCCAGCGAGGACCACAAAAATCTGGGTCTGCCTACTGACATAAGCTCCACTAAGCTTCTCCAACCAGATCAAAACTGGAATACAGATATTTGGAATTACATCCACTAAGAAGCAAAGGCATCCAAGCATGATGCTTTGATAAGTGTAATAAGTCTCAACACAGTCTGTAAATTCAAAGCAGCTTCATTTTCAGAAAAAGAGTTTTAGGGGATATGGGAGGATAGCAATCCCGATCTGGCTACTGAAGTTGATACTTTGAGGAAATGATGGAGATTGGCTTGAGGATAGGAAGTTAAAAGCTCACTATTTTAAAGTTTATTTTTATTTTTTGACTTCCCTTTCACTCAAGTTAATAAGTATCTGCCTTTTAGTTAGTGGCTTACCCTCCCTTCTCCACCCATTCTAAAGAGAAAAAAACAAAACAATACTGTCATTGAGTTGATTTGACTCTTAGCAACCCCTCCTTGGGTTTCCGAGGTGGTATCTCTATATGGAAGTAGATTGCCCAACCTTCCTTCCGAGGAGTGGGGGGTGGATTTGAACTGCCAGCCTTCTGGTTAGCAGTCAAATGCTTTATGCACTGTGCCACCAGAGTGCCACACCCACCCCTAGTAACCATCAAGGAATATTTCTTTTTATGTTAAACCCTTTCCTTGACTTTTTATAATAGTGTTCTCATACAGTATTTGTCCTTCTGTGATTGACTAACTTCACTCAAACTAATATGTCATTTTATTTTAATCTGTAAGTGAAATGTAGAGTCTCTTAAAGTCTTGAAAATGCCATAAGCATTGCCAAATATTATAGGAATTAAACATATGAATACAGTCTAAATAAGAGATATGGGTGTCCTTTTAAAATTTCTTCCTTAAATAACCTTAACTATATAAATATCATAAAAAATAAATTATGTGATTCAACTAATCAGGGCTGCCATTAGCTCGTGGACACTTCAGCATGGAGCAGACTTGCTCTAGGACCCATGGTTTGGGCAAAGAAGCAAAGGCCCAGTCACCATGCTCCATGTGGGGTGCTCTGTGTAGGACTATCATTTGCTTTTTATGCACTTACTTACACTTTACAAAGACTTATGACCATCATTTTGATTTTCAAATGACAAATCTATGATGGTTGAGGAGGGATTTGATTTATACCTACAACATCAAAATCAATGTATTTTCTGTTATAGCAGGCTCATGTCTACCTCTACTTCTCTTCATCAAAATTACTTATTGAGAGTTTTAATCTCCATAACAGTTCTATAGATTTTATTCAAAGAAGGGAGGTATGCCTTTTTTGACAACTTCAGAGCTGATCTTAAATTGTAAAGTTAAGACTTTACTACTGCCATCAATAGGGTGTTTCAATTGGCATGGGTTTTCATACATTTTTGGTAAACACAGATTTGCCTAGTTCTGTCTACAGTAATAATTTTCACTGTTATGTTGTCCCTCCTTTTTAAAGATAATTTTCTCTCTCATAATTCCCACACTGTCAAATACATTTATTAAGCCAATTGCATTTATTAGATAAAAAATCTATTTGCATATGAAAATGTCTATTAAATGGGATATATAATTTAAGAGCAAAATATAGCCACCAATGATAAATGGCAATGTAAAAAACCAATAAACTTATTTAGTAACAAAAATATTTAGCTAACTTGCAGAAACACTTTTTATCAGAACAAAAAAACAGAGAGAAATGGAATTGAATTGTAGTTCATCCACTTGTTTTCTATGTCATTTAAACTTCTTACTAGAAGGCTGGGGGTTCAAACCCACCAGCCACTCCTTGGAAGGAAGATCGGGCAATCTACTTCCTTAGTGATACCGCCTCAGAAACCCAAGGAGGGCTCACTATGAGTCAGATCTGACTCGATGACAGTGAGTTAAGATTCCTAAGACTCATTTCTTGCAGTGTACATAGGGTAATAATTCAAATCTCACCCAGTTGTTATGAGGAGTCGAAGTGAGAAAATACAGATAAATGATTTAGCATGGTGATTTCTACATGCATTATGTTCTTAATAAATGTCACTTTTCTCTTGAAAGCAAATTTAAAAACTAGAAAGCTTTTAGAATAATGAAAATAACCCACCAAGTACATTTGCTAATTTTGTGAATCTCTAGAGAGCTGGAGCCTCTATGTTAAGAGACAACAGTGTGGGTCTGAAGTATTCATTGTATTCTGGGATCTAAAGAGTCCTACCACAAGAAGGAAGAAGCAGAATAGGAAAGAAACATATGCATGTGGTGGAGTGTCTTGCTCAGAATCAAGCTATTGTCTTTCCCAGTGGTCTTCCAAAGACTAAAACAACAAAGGCTTCTAATTTTACATATTTTGAGCAGCTCCACAATTAAAGAGAAGATGTAGCCAAGAAAGGCCCAGGGACTGGTTCAGACATTTGTGTGAAACTTTTGTTTAAGAAGTGTCTCAGGGACTCAAACAAAAGTCTGTTTTCCAAAAAGTCCTTAGTTTTGTGCCTAAGTAGTATGGTGTAATGCTGAAGGAAGGAAGCTCCCGTTGAGTTAATATTATTTCAGTCTATTTTTGAGCGTAAACGCATGCCTTCCTTTCCCACATCCTCACCAAAGTAACTTTGTTCACCATAAACCTAGTATTCTAAAATAATGATTCAAATGTGATATTTATTTCCTTCCTTTTGCTAAAGACTTGATTAACCATCTAAGAGCAGATCTGTTAAGGACAGCTGAAATACTTTTTTTTTCCCTAAAACCCCAAGCTTTTAAAATGCTCTGAATTATTTGATTAAGCTGCTTACAAATTTATTCTCTTTCTGCTTTTTACACATAGACTAAAACCACCAACCCAAAGTTTTTTTTTTTTTTTTCCAGTTGAGCATTCTGGAAGCAGCTTTAACTTTATTAGGACAATGAAAGGATATTCAGAAAAAAAAAAAAAAAAAAAACCCAACATACAGACTGACTGGTGTTTAAGTATTAAAGTCAACTTCTGTTATTTGTTCAATCCGCAACAGGCCTTTTAGACAAAACTCCTCATTACTTGCTCATATTCGATGTCTGTATTCATCCTATTACTCACTAAGGAGAAGTCACAGGAGGAACCATGATGTCTTTCCACACATAGTATTTTTCTCTTCTCCCTTTTGATTTTAAGAAGTGGCAGTAGCCTGGAATTCCTTCGTTGATAGAATTAAGTAGCTTATTTATTTATTTAACATTATTTGGTCATTAACACTATTGTGAACTCTTACCATCAAGCATTAATTGTTTAAATCCCCCTGGCTTTTTGTATGTTGGTATTGTAAGGTGCAAAGTTAATTCCAAATTGGTCATTCTGCCCAAGGCTTTGAACCAGTTCATTCTGGTTGCAGCTGCCTGCTGAGAGTTTGCCTTTCCACCCCAGATATGCAGAATTAGAACATAGAGTTTAACCCAATATCCACATGATTCTTATGTATACATAATGTGTACGTAAGGTATAAATAAGAATCACCTGGGGGTTGGTTAAAAGGTAAATTCTGATTCAGTATATCTGGAGAGGAAAGGCAAATTCTCAGCAGGGGGACAAACTGCAATAAACAGATTCAAAGTCCTGGTCTACATAGCTATGCCTTTCTAATCCATCAGATACTTGGTATGAATTCTTTCTATTTATGACAGAGAATTTTTATTTTCTAAATTTTATCTATGATTTATACTTTAGCTCTACAAAAGCCTGGCTTTGTCATCCTTAGCAAACTGAAACCAAAGGGTGAAAAGAATATTGAAAATTGTAACCAAAATCTCTGCCTTCATCACTGATCATTATTTCTGGTAATTCTCAGGCCTTTAAAGAACTTTGCATCTGTGTAAACTGCATATCCAATAATGAATTGAGATCAGCTTCAGTCTTCCCGGTACCTAGGAGTGAAGGATGGTGATGTCCGCATGATAAATAACTCTTTTCTAGGTTTTGCAATGGAACGGATATGGTTGCTGCTGCTTCTAACAATTAGAGTGCTTCCAGGGTCTGCACAGTTCAATAGTTACAATTGTGATGCCAACCTCCACAGTAGGTTTCCTGGTAAGTACGAACCTAATATTTTCTGTAATTACTTCTGAAAACAGTAATTATGTTTGAAAAATAAATAATTTAAATATGTACAGAAAGAGCTCTGGTAGCATAGTGCCTAAAGCACTTGACTGCTAACCAGAAGGCTGGCTGCGGTTCAAACCCACCAGCCATTCCTCAGAAGGAAGGTTGGGCAATCTACTTCCGTAGGATACTGCCTCGGAAACCCAAGGAGGGGTCGCTATGAGTCCGTCCGACTCAATGGCAAATAACAACAACAACAACATCACTGCCTTAAATGCATATTGTCATTTGGCAAATGACAAAAGACATTTTTCTGGAGTTGCAATATATATTCACATTAACATACAAAGTATTCATCATAGTCAATATTATAATGGTCTCTCACAGATTTGAAAAAAAAATATTGGCTAGTGGGCGGCAAAATTGGTAAAGCTTAATTTCTTCCAAAATTTGCCTAATTCATTCCTCTTTTTAAAGAAAGTTAATTTGGACTTTTAAAGCTATTTTTTTATCCTAATAGATTTAAGAATAATACTTAAGAAAATAATTGTGAAGTATTATTAATACTTCTTGTTGTTGTTATTATGTGCCGTGGAGTGAGACCTGACTCATAGCAACCCCTCCTTGGGTTTCCAAGGCAATATCACTACGGAAGTAGATTGCCCAACCTTCCTTCCAAGAAATGGCTGGTGGGTTTGAACCGCAAGCCTTCTGGTTAGCAGTCAAGTGCCTTAGGCACTACACTACCAGAGTTCCCTTGCAATACTTAGTAAACATAATTGCAATGAAATTTTGGTCACTACCAAAGTATATAGGCCAGCCTCACAACGAATTTCACAGAAGTTAATTGCCTACCAATATTGTGACAGATATTGGCCATATCAATGAACATCTTGCACAGGTACCTAAAATCTGCACTCAATGAGAAGAAACTCACCATTTTACTTAAGTGTCAACTATTTTGTAGTAGCTAAAGTTACGGAAAGAAGAGCTAGTAATGCATTGGTTAAAGCATTTGGCTACTAACTAAGAGATTGGTGGTTTAAACCCCCCAGCTCTTCCACAGAAGAAAGATGAGGCAGTCTGCTTTCATAAAGATTTACAGCCTTGAAAATCTTATGGGGCAGTTCCAATCTGTCCTATAAGGTTGGTCTGAGTTGGAGTCAACTTGGTAATAGTGGGTTTGGGTTATCTTTTATGTACACATCTGAAAAAATAAATAATTTCTTAATATCATCTAAGACTCAGCCAATTTGCCTCTAAAATGTCCACTGGTCGCATTTATTGACTTGTCTCTTGTAGGAACTGTTGAGCTGGCCCTGACTCATAGTGCCCTATGTACAGCAGAACAAAACAAAACACCACCCTCACAATCATTGCTTTGTTTGAGCTTATTATTGCTGCTAATGTGTCATTCCATCTTGTTAAGGGTCTTCTTTTTTTTTCTGACCCTCTTCAGTCTATTTTAGTTTACAACAGTTCCCCCTAGGTCCCTTGCTTTTAAAAAAAATGTGACTTATCTCTTTAAGCCATTAAGTCATTTGTCTTGTAGAATTCTGATACTCTGGATTTGGCTGCCTATAACTTTGAGGTATCATTTAACATGCTATTCTTTGCCTGTATATCCATTTTGCCTTTACCTTGTATGGAGACCATGGAGAGCCATTGGATCGTTCTTAGCATGGGCATGACATAGTCACATTTTATAGTTGGAAGGAGACATTGAGAGGAGTGCGAAAGAGAATTGAAGAAGAAAATAGGAGTAGAAGGAAATGTGAAGGCCATTCAATGGTAGCAATAGAAAGAGACAACTATTAAGAGGTATTTTTGTGGTGGACACTGCAGAACTTGACTGATTCCTCTTGGCAAGGAAAAGAGAAGACTAGAGTATATTTTGAATTTGAACAACTGGATAGTGATACTATCAACTGACAACAAAAACATAAAACACATGTTTTAGAACAAAAATTGGGGTTTGGAAGTAATGAGTTTGAGATGTTTTTTGAACTTTTAGTAGTGGCTTCTATTCAGTAGTAGGAAATATGGACCTAAGTCTGAGGAGAGAGAGAAAACTGGAGATAGGTATGTGCGGGTTGAATCTGGAGCAGCGAGTGAGGAATGAGTAGAGCACAGGAAAATGAAAGCTAAGACAATAGACTACTGTTTAGGTAACTTTGGTGATGAAGGAAGAGAGGAGTAAACAGAGCCAGTAACTGAAATGAGAAAAGAGATTTTTTTGGACTAGAGGGGCCTGAGAATACATAAATAAGGAGAAAATATTGAGATATTAGAGATATTGAAAAAAGAATTAATTGGTGCAATGAGGAAAGGAAATATGTCAGTGATCAAGAACATAGGTGGTTTTTTAGAAATATGGATTCCACTGCTTTACCTCAAACATGTAGCATTTAGAATCTCTGAATGTGGTGTTAGGAATCTGACTTTTATAAATCTACAGATGAGTACATTTACATTAAGAACAACTGACATAGTGTGTTCTGCTTTTTTTTTTTTTTTTAATATTATTCCAATTAAAAGCATGATCATGGTAGTATTTTTAGTACCATTTTTCTTAGACAATAAACATCCACACTTTCCAAATATATACATTTCTACACACACACACACACACACACACACACACTTTGTTGTAATTTAATGCCCAGATAAAGCAGAAGTTTTGGGTGAGGCTTTCAGTATATGTGGGCATTATTTTTAAATAATCCCAGTTTTGCAGAGTGTTTGCAGAAAGAAGACCACAGCGAGCAAATAAAATACAGAGGTTAATTACTTACTCTCCTCTTGACTTGCAACTTCTCTTCTACATTAGGATCACCCTTGATGTCATCAGGAGCTCCACTAGCTGCTCAGATCCCAAGCAAAGGGATGGAATGAAAATTAGGCAAGCAAAGAGACGGGCTATCTAAATGCAAAGTAATGTTAATAATGATGAGAGTAATCATCTCGCCCTATCTGACCTTTGCTGTTTCATGACATTAAAGCTATTTTCTTTAATTTCCATGGCATTTATTCTTGAACTAAAGGAACCACCATGGTATAATTCATTTTACCATTTTACATTTAAAGGAGTGCCTTCTAATTTTAAAGGTAGTTAACTCTTGGCTATCCATGCTAGTGGTGAGGGGCAGAGCCAGGAACAAACAAAATTACAGTTACGTTCTTCCCAGAATAAAATTCAAAGATACAGTTGACTTTTAAAGTATCAAAGAATTATTTGACCAGACAGAGCAAAATAGACTAACAAATGCACTTGGTCTCTGTGACTGATGGGTACTTTCTGAAACTACCTGCTTTTATGAATTGGCGTTGACCCAGTGGTAATGGTTTTTTTTTTTTAAAGTATTCTATGAAGTTTAGGCAAAACTTTCAGGCCTCTAAAGAAGACTGTAATGAAAAAGGCACAACCAAAGATAGATGTAGGCTTATAGCATCAGAAACTTAGTGGCCTGACATTGTCTTATAGTAAACTAACCAATCATGGGAAAACTGAACAAAATTGAACAAAAGCCATAGCTTATCATTTTGTATTGTAGTTAGGAAACTCTGATAAAGAAGAATGGAGGGCAGGGATTGTTCAATAGTATAATAATTCTCCCCTTCCATGGAGCAGACTTGTTTTGATTTCCAGTCAATGAACCTCATGTGCAGCCACTATCCCTCCTTCATTGGAGGCTTGTACATTGCTGTGATGCTGAACAGGATTCAGGGGAGCTTCCAGACTGAGACAAACTACCAAGAAAAGCCTAGTAATCTAGTTGCAAAAATCAGTCAACGAAATCCCTGTGGATCACAACAGTCCAATCTGTAACTGGTCATGAGGATGGCACAGGACTGAACAACTTTTTGTTCCATTGTGCATGGAGTCAATGCAAGCTGGGAACTAACTCAATGACAGGCTAACAATAATTAGAAGAAAGAAAACAATAGGTTCCATGTATTAAGCACTAGGCATATCACATAATTCACTCTTTCATTCCTTACAACAAACCACTTTAAAATCACTTTTTAAATAACTATTAGCCTTTGTGCAATGTTACAAAGCTAACAAGTGGCAGAGATATAAAACTAGAACTATTTCCACCAAACCATGATGCCTTCAAATTAACTTTGAATACTGTTTAAAAAATGATGTATAGATTGAGAATCACAATGGACATTACCATGTTAAAGGATCTGAAAAATTATATATGGTAGGACAATTTGTTTAGCCTTTTTACGAACTGCTTAACTAAGGATATATGTTTTTTTCAGTACTGCTTATTAATATTTCATTGGACACTGGTTTAGAAAAAATATATTGAAAGTAACCTATTTAATGGAGAGACTTCATGGATTGGTCAAGCATAACAAACTGTCTAGTCTTCTATTAGGCTTTGCTTTAACCATTGCATTGTTGTACGCCCAAAGACAGAGTAAGAACGGATAATGGAATAATCACTCCAGGAGATAGGTTCTGGATCTCCATGTAGATAAGAAACTCTTCAACTTTCCTACCTGCATAGTAGTGCTTTGGTCTCCAACACGTTAAGACGATGTCTGCTTTCCACTTTGCACCTGTGCCTGCAATTACTAAAGCAGACCAGGCAGAATAATTGATTCAGGCAGCAATTGCTGATCACATTCTGATTAATCTACAAAGATAATGTGCAATGGAGAAGAGAGCAATTAGTCCACAAGTTCAAAGACTGAATAATTCAGGGTCTATACCCTTCTTTATTTTTGTAACTAAGTTTCTAATTGTATAAATTTTCCACTTCTTCTGCTTGTATAAGTAAAAGCCATATGCAATTTTCTGCCTGAAAAACATGACCAAATTCTCTTGGCTCCAAAGAATGTGGAGCAGTAAGTGCAAGTATAAGTCTGCAAAGTTTGCATCAGACTGAGTATAAATTTCTTACAGCACTGGAAACAACAGCTTGTGTTTGCTAACGAGAAACAGATGTTGTGATGAAAAACTAAGGTGGTAA